TATTGTATATATTTAAGTGTTCAATATTCTGAGTGTATCAAGAAGATATTTAGGAAATAACTTGGTCATGGTAGAAATGCATCATTCTGCTTTATATTTCTCAGTTATTCTATATTTGCTTTTTTGAAAAAAATAATTTTACACATTTACGTTCTCATAAATCGGGAAAACCTTAAAGGCACTATTATTGTTTTGTCTCGACATGGTCTGCGCATAGTTAAATAATTCCCCTGTAATAAAAAACTTACATGTAACAGAATTTCATTACCTTAGGCTCACTCGGGCATTATGATGCGAAATTATGTAATCTATTTGTGAATAAGATTTTGAAAATTTGAAAACATATATATGCACTCTTGTACATTGTCCAATAGTGACTTGATAATTAAAATACATGTGTAAATATCTCGCATGGTTACATTTTATACCTCAGCCTGCCCTAAAGCTCAGAGTTTTACAGTCAATTGTATCTGATCATCCCTTTAAAATAGCATCTCGTTCACAGACCAGATAGTTCATTACCCTTGTGCTCATACTGTCGAATAACTTCTTCCCGCTCTTTTATTGGTAGTAGACTGTACCCATGCAAAAGAACCACTAATGGGATCAATACAAATCCGGTCGGTTCTGGCCTGTTTGGCTCTACTGGTTCGAGGGATGCCCCTTTCACCACGTGAAATGACGGCTGGCAAATTTGTTTGAGAAAAATTCGGCATTGTTTAATTAGAAAATTTTCTTCAGCAAGTTCATTTGTTGCATCACGGAGCTTCTCAGCAAGCCGTCGCTGCGAATTCTGCGACTCTGCCACCTCACCACCAAGCTGTTCCTTTTCTTGTGCAAATTTAGCGCGTTCATCCTCTATCATAGACCTCAATCGTTCGATTTCCCCTTTTAATCTCTCGTTCTCAGTTGAATCTTCATTTTTGATTTGCACTTCCTTCACTTTTAGTTCATTTTTTATGAACCTATAGTCTTCCAGTTCTCGTCTAAGACATTGCACTTTTCTTTGGAGTTGGTTTATCTCTGATGTGTAATCTGTCTTTAACTGCATGATAGTAGCATGACTGATTTTGTGAAATTTTTTCAAAATACTGTGGCTGTGCTTATCCCGTTCTACCCAGTAATCCCACTCAATCTGAGATCTCTGCTCGCTTGCCTCAATACATAGTGCAAAGATGGCACGCATTCTTTGAATTTTCAAACTTTTCTTTTGGAGCTGATCAGTGAGGTTTCTGCATTCTTCCCTAATTTTACAGAAACGACGACGCTGCTCTTCTTGGTTTGAGGAACTGGAAGTTTGAAAAGTACTCTCCTTTCTCCGATGGGGTTCACTGATCTCAATAATACTTTCCTCGCCCGTTCGAACGCCTTCAATGCTCAAATGCCGACAGTTTTCGTGAGCCTCAGTACTAGAATGTGTCTGTAAAGAGTTAAAAGCATGTAAAGCATTTGCTAAGTTCCTTGTGGTTGTTTGGGATGTTGGGGCATTGATACCATCCGCATACCCATGTAAAAGTAGAGGTGAGCCAAAGGTAATTACACTGGTGCCTACTGTCGGGGCTGCATGCTCACATGGGCTGGTTCTAGGAGGGCTGACAGGCTCCAAATGTAGATCAGTTGTCCTATGCCCTGCACCCACACCCGGCGCACCGGGAGTGCGAAAATAACTTCCTGAATGTGTATTATGTTTGGAAAAGATGTAATGAATAGGTATTCTTTGGTTCACACCCTTTTTCCTCACAGACGAAATGGAACGTGATACCGTTGATTTCACATGACCCTTTGTGGTTGATTTGATGTTTACATTTTGAATATTAGTATTGGGCTGTGCTTGAAATGTAGATGTCAATGGTAGATTGTCATTGATGAGTGGCATGCATCCTCTAGTTGGAATATCCAATCCCAGCTTAGGTGGAATGCTATCCATAGCGGAACTGATGTAAGAGGCACAAACTCCTCTTTCTTTGGAAGAAAACTCGGGAACCTTTGAATTTTTCGATACTAAGCTAATAGGAAGTTAAAGAACGAATGTAATAGCTCATAAAAAAACGATATCTAAGCACTTGCTTTAAAAGAAAACAAGGTTGTATCTGTTATTGTCAGTATTCATCATGAATATTAGCAACCTTAACAGAATCTCATCAGTTGACAATTTTATGTTCAATATCTGTTGTCAGATTTGACACACATAATGGATACCATGATTTTAGAAAACAGCATGCAAGAAATAAAGGTTACGTTATGCATAGCAAGATCCTTAAGAAGATTATTCATGAAAAAAAGATCGAATCAATTGAATCTACTTAGTAAGTAATGATCTATCTATATCACTAAAAAGTTCAAAATAAAGGAATAATCTTCGAGTAGATT